CGCTGGGCACTTCTAATAATTCGAGTGTGTTTTTGAAGTTTTCCATTGAAAATACAATAAGGACCGACAAAGGAAAATTGGTTTAATCATTGTTTAAATTTTATTTTGAACATCCAAGCCTAGAAAACTTGTTTCATGATGTGCATGGATATATATTTATCTAATATATGCAGATGCACTGTGCATTGGTGCAACTAAAAACATAGGAAAAGCCAAAAAGTATATTTTATTAAGGATTAGAATTTTTAATAAACAAATTTTAAAAGATTATTTTTCCCTGAATGAATGAGTAAATGCATGATCTGTCCACGCATTTTATAAAAACTTGAGATGCTTGAAAGCATGAATTAGAATCGGCTTGAAATACAAGGCCTGGTTTCACCAATAGTTTGAAAGGGGTAATCATACTTTGACCCCCCTGAACTATAATAGTTGGGGGTACAGTGTATTGTAGATTTATTTAATACTGTACATGCAACAACAAAATTTGCACACTGTTATTGTACATATAAACATAAACTTTACATTGTACACTGTACAGAACATTGTGCATTTTATAATGAAAAAAAGATGCAATTTACAATGATGCACTTAAAAATGTTATTTTTCACTTAAAAAAAACTTATTTTTATAATAAAATAGAATTGTGAAGAAATGAAAAGGTTTTTTTTCTATAACTTTCTTTAAACCTTTTTGCTATGTACGCGATATATGTAATACTGTATTTACACACACACACACACACATATATATATATATATATATATATAAGAAAATAAATATTTAAAACATGATTTAAAGTTTTGTGGTTTCAACATTATGTTTCATGTTATTAAGGATGTACATATGTGTACAACTGTTTGTACATCTGCAGAACACTACATAAAGATGCATTATTTATATTCTCATTTTCCAATTAATTTAAAGTATATAATTAGTTATTAATAGCATGCGTTTACACTTGTTCTTTAGAAATATTTAACACAAAGAACTTTAACTTATTTTTTTATTTTAAAAAAGATTATCCCTGACATATAAAGTACAACAAGTGATTTGAATTATCCAAGATTTAACTAATAATTAAGAAATTTGAAAATTGTTTCAGGCAAACTGTGAAATGATTAAGGTTGGTTCTTCTTTCTTTTGATAAAGAAATGCCTATCAAGATTTGTATTTGGTCTTTTTCAATTTTAGGGCGAAATATTACGCGATACTTCTTAATTGTATAAAGAAGGACAAAAATTATTTCATAAAGTTTTTATTTTTTTTAAATACTGTATCTACACATTAATATATCATTCAATAATTCGTAATTGTAAAATCATTGTGTACTGCAGGACGGAAGGTTTTGGCCCGGACGTGTAAATTCCACTAAACTAGCGGATGTGTACGGCGTGGTGATGGATACACAGCGCGGCAATCGTCCCATCATTCTCCCTAGAGACGACATTTTGAAGGAGGCGGTAAGTTTAGTTTTTTATTTCAATAATTTCAATCGCAGACATGTTTAATTAATAAACATCGTATTTGGATCTTCTACAATTTTAAATTGGAATGTTTTGGGCTTAAAATAGAACATTTTATCCATTAATATGATGAGACTTTACACGCACCTCTGCCCCTTCAGTAAAAGTAAATTCAACCTATATGAAGCATAAAGTCTGACCGCGTCAACCTTGTTGCACCGGCTAGTCCTGTCCATAAAGCTAGGTTNATCTATCTATCTATCTATCTATCTATCTATCTATCTATCTATCTATCTATCTATCTATCTATCTATCTATCTATCTATCTATCTATCTATCTATCTATCTATCTATCTATCTATCTATCTATCTATCTATCTATCTATCTATCTATCTATCTATCTATCTATCTATCTATCTATCTATCTATCTATCTATCTATCTATCTATCTATCTATCTATCTATCTATCTATCTATCTATCTATCTATCTATCTATCTATCTATCTATCTATCTATCTATCTATCTATCTATCTATCTATCTATCTATCTATCTATCTATCTATCTATCTATCTATCTATCTATCTATCTATCTATCTATCTATCTATCTATCTATCTATCTATCTATCTATCTATCTATCTATCTATCTATCTATCTATCTATCTATCTATCTATCTATCTATCTATCTATCTATCTATCTATCTATCTATCTATCTATCTATCTATCTATCTATCTATCTATCTATCTATCTATCTATCTATCTATCTATCTATCTATCTATCTATCTATCTATCTATCTATCTATCTATCTATCTATCTATCTATCTATCTATCTATCTATCTATCTATCTATCTATCTATCTATATCTATCTATCTATCATCTATCTAGGTACTTGAGGTACGACCTACCTGGTCAGGTGACCTACCTGCTGGATCTAGAGTATGTACCTACTGGAGCTCTGCATATTCATGTTTATTTCCTGCCACTGTATCTCCCACCCAGGAGAACAGTCAGAAGGTGTGTTAAAAACTTTTTTTGTGGGTGGAGGGGCAGGTGTATTGATGACATAACTCAAACCGTACCATGCTGATTTAACAATTCAGTCCTTAGCCCAGTAAACTGTGACCTTCTAATTTAATTTTGATCAATTAAGCATAAATTTTTCTCTTTTTTGATACTTTAATTCGTTATAAGAGACTTTAGATTATTAAATCGTAAATTTTTGGAATTTACGAAATGTTGTCTGCTATTATCCACCTTCAACTTTGTCCTAATTTGAATTTGTAAAATAACCAAATGGTCCAAATTTAATAAGAAAGACCAACATTTGATACATTTAACTTATTGGGGTCATCAATCACGTCAAACTAAAGTAAACTTCACGTTATATTGAAATCTTATATATTTTCAATCAGAACTTCTCTAATTAAAAAGCTATAGAGAGGAACAAAGATGTTTTGAATTTCTATTATTTAACCAGATAATTTTGCATTTCTCATAGTTTTGTATAAAATGAAAACTAAATGAGCAACAAGGTCGTCAAGTCGTAACAGAAATGTTGCATAACTTTGACCTTTTCTATCTGTCTAGTTTGCAGTGCATTATTTAAACTGTTCTGTAGTATCTATAATTACCCTTGCTCTTACGTTCTTGGTGGTCATTTCTAGTATTTTCTAATTTGTCCGTTTAACTATTAATTTTTTACATTCTTTATTTAATTTTCACTCGTCATATTTCTCAAAAATACTTTTGTTCTTTAATCATTATTCCCGAATCCTCATTCAGTCTTTTTAACTTTTTTTAAATTAGAATTTTTAGAATTTTAGATCTTTGTCTTTTTTTGTGTTCTCATTTCTCCATCCATCTCTCGATCCTGAAATCCTTCTTACCGCTAAAGTTTCTGTCTATCTGATTCTGAACTTTATCAATTCATCAATTACGCTTCATTCATCTTGGCTGCACTGTCATCAGTGGAAGGATTGCTAATTGATTGAAACTAATGCATTTATCAGCTCATCTATTAAGCTACCTATTTAATAACTTACTTAAACCTATCTATCCACCCATCACCTACGTAATACACCAACGGACCTATGTATTTACCTACCTACCTACCTAGGGTCAGATATTAGTAGAGCTGGATGATGGAGACTCTAGGTTGGTTGATATATCAAGAATAAGAATGCTTCCACAGGACTACAGCAGAGTAGGTCAGTCTATAACAGGGGGCGGAAACGTCATGTGTGTGTCTGTACCAAAAGAGTGTGTGTCAGTTTAAAGTACCGAAGGTGTGTACTGTAGGTTCTTTCTCTTGCCGGACCAGCGCCATTTCCTTTCCCTATATTCCTGTTCCCTGGTCTATAACCTTGAAATCCTCTAAACCGGCATAAAGCCCAATACCCCTTAAACCCCTGGACCTGGCCCTAAAGCCTTAAACTCTGATTCCTTGAACCATAGAAACTAAGGAACTCTAGAACCCTTGAGATCATTGAACCTCTTTAAAGAGCTTTCTAAACCCCTAAATTCTAGCTATTATAATCCCTGAGCCCCTGAACCCGTGACCCATTTAAGACCCTTCAAATTTTTGAACCTTAAAAACCCATAAACCCACAAACTTCTGAAATTCCTGAATATAAAAACTACGGAACTCTGTCAAACCTCTGAACCCCTTCTTTTCAGTATCTAAACCCCTCTTTTAATTTTTCTTTTATTCTGAAATTTATTAACTTTATTTTTCTTTATTCCTTGTTTATCTATGTTTTTATTTTTATCCTGTCGTAAAATATTCTTTACATTTTGAACAAACAAAATATTTGCAATCCTTAGTGTAATTTTTGCATCTTCAAATGTTGTACAAAATTCCTAAAATTTTGTTACAATGGATATACTTTTTTGGATAAAACAAAGTTTAAAATTAAAATGTAAAATGAATTTGTTAATATGTTAAATTATATTTACTTACTTTTCCCACCACTTTACTTGCAAATACAAAAATAACCAATATAAACACATATTTAGACATGTTTTTAATATTCAAATAATTATTATTTAAATTATTTTGTTTAGTTTATGATCCTGATCCTATCTCAAGTTTGAGGAAACGAAGGATTTCTACTGACAGCCATGACAGCGGAACGAGCTTACAGGACAAATCCGCGGAATCAAGAAAATCCGGGGAACTTAAAAAGTTTTCTAAACCGAAGGAGACCCTGCACAGTACGGAGCAAAAGAAGTTAAAAATTCATAAGAAGAAGAAACTGAAAAAGTTGCACAAACACTGTGATAAGCACAGGCGTCATAAGGAAGCCCGGTACATGCAAAAGTATGCTGTTCGTTCCCCTCCGCGCGCTCGCGAACCTCCAAAGACTTCTGAATCTTCGGAGGATTCTTTGGAGGAGAATTCAGATCAAAATAACTCTTCAGACGAAGAGGTAAAAATATTTTCCCCAATTTAAAAAAAAAGTAAAATTCCGTCTTTTTTAAAAAAAAAATAGCACTTCAAAGGCTAAGTAACTAGATTTTAAACCTCAATTTTTTTAAATTAAAAAGACTGTAACAATTTTTTTTAAAGGATTCTGAGAGCTGCAGGGTTACAGAAGAAGGTGGAGAAGGAGGAGAAGGAGGTAAAGGAGAAGCAGGCTGGAGGTGGGTAGGAGAAGGATACAGAAGACCAGGAGGAAAAGGGAAGAGTAAGAAGATGTTCTATAAAGGAATACAAAGAGGAGAGCATCTACTGAATGTAAACGACTGCGCTGTTTTTCTTTCAACTGGACGTAGTGATAGACCTTACATTGGGAGAATAGAGGTAAGCTTTAACCAAAAGATTAAGATTATTTTATAATATATGACCTATCTTAAGTGTTGATAAAGTTGTAAATCGTTTAGTTTCTTTTAAAAAAAAACTTTCACCATTTTAAAATTGTATTTTAATAAATTTTGCCTTTATTAAACCTTACATTGCTTTTATCCTCAGGGAAAAAAGGATTAACCCAATAAATAATTGTTTTTTATTATATTTTTTCTCAGGGTCAAATTTGGCAAAGTGTGAAAAAGCAAATGTTTTGAAAAAACAATTTTAAAATTTGTAAATCTTTTGTTGAAACTTTTTCTAGTCCTAAACACTTGAAAAACAAACCTATTGTACATAACTGATTGTACATAACTGATTGTACATAACTGATTGTAGATGATGTGGGAGACGATGTCGGGATGTATGATGACGAAGGTGAAGTGGTTCTACCATCCACAGGAGGTTGACACTTGTCCCAGAAAGTTCAGTCTAAATCTACCGGTAAGTGAGTTAAAAAAAGTATTTTTTTTTTCACTTTAAATTTATACCTTTTTTCAGGGTGGACTGTTTCAGAGTCCCCACACGGACGAAAACTCTGTTCTAACGATCTCTCATAAATGCTTTGTTCTGCCTTTCAAGGTTTGCATTTATTAAGTTTTTAAACTTTTATACTTCGCAGTCCTCAGAGAGAAAGATATTGGCATCTCTCCAATTCTTTGCAATTTATCAAATTCCTTCGAATTTCTTTGATATCTTATATTTACAGGAGTTCCAGCGATATCACGGGGTAGGTCCCGAGGATCCTGACCTGTACTATCTGGCCGGGAGCTACGACCCGGCTGGTCTCACTCTTAACTTTCAGCCTGGAGTTCTCAAATCAGAAGATTCCGAGTAACAACAAAATGGCGGATGACAAAAATGGCGGGAAACCGAAATTTTACAATTATCGACATTCCCCAACCCTCAGCTGTGTGAAACTGGAATTGAACCCTCTAGAGTACAAAAATAGACAAAGTTAACTGATAATTTTAAACGTTTATAAAAAAGGCTTATTTTCATATGTGTTCAAAGTGATCAAACTTTAAATATTTTCAGCTTTTCATTTTTAGAAACTTTATATAAAGTAGATTTGCACTTTATAACTGCTTGTCAATCTTTTAAATGTATGTTTCCACCGCCCCTGTGATGAAAGAAATATTTAAAAAATATTTCTCAAAAATTTGCAAAATGTTTCTTAGACTTGCTCTTTATTGAAAGTTTGAAACCGTTGTATCAATATGACATGATATGGTTCCACGTGCTTAAACTCCTCTCTTAAATGTTGTTTTGGTTTTAATGTTCAGTAACAAACATGAAACCAGTTTTAATTCCTACGATCGTTGTATGGTCGTACGTAGAATTCTCCCGCGGCACCGTGTGTACATGATGTAAGTGTTAAAAAATTTTACATAAGAAAAATAGCACAATTGTACTTGAGTTTGTGTTTGTACATGTAGTGTTAGTGTGATACATCTAGTAGGCTGTGAACTATATTATTCTTATACAATACATTTTCAACCAAACATAACTGCATTATTATCCTGAGAGCCTGACCAAGAATTGAGTTTATTACAGTGGGACCCATAACACTGTGGAATAGGAGGACGACTGCTATGATTTAAGGGAAACGGAATCGACACGGCCCACCAAACCATGATTACACATGCTTTGCAGAAACAGGGTTTTTAAAACGTAGTCTTTTTTAGTAATTTTTTAAATATGGTTTTGTACTATACCATATTTAATAAAACCAATTTTTGCTTGTATAGCAAATATTTTCGGATCCCAAAAAATATATTTGTTTGCTTTATTCGGCCTAATTTTACCTTTGTTTAATGTATACAATAACCTATTCCGAATACATGTATACAGACAAATATTTCTTATTCAAATGAAGTACCGTCTGCAAACTGTATAATCATATGGTAGGGCGGGCCGGGTCAATTCCTTCTCCCTTTTATTCTATACTCCTTGATTTAAACTTTAATTCCTTTAACAGTGTATACCTAACAGCATTTAATCCAATAAATTCCAGGCGACTGCAGTGAAACTTTTTGACCTTCAATATTTAAAACGCGTAAAATTGCTTAAATGATGATTTCCTTTAAAGTGTGTAGTTCGATAAATCAATTTGCATCGTTAAAAACCCCTTTTTGACACCTTGACAAAATATGTTTTTTTACACAAATGTTATTATTGAAAGCGAGAAAGAAAATTAACCTTTAGATAATTTTATACTGGATTAAAAACGTTCATGAAATTTTATGTGTCATTGTTGTCGAAGAACAGTTTTGCCAATTCAATAAAATTCATTTCTGGGACACTTTGAAGTTAGCAGTAGGAAAACAAGTTCATTTGTCTTTTGAACTTATTTTAGAATCTGATTTTAGCAATAACTAGGAAAATGAGGGTTACCCAAAAAGTGTAAGGTTTAACGGAAATACTTAAAATATGATGATCCTAAGGTAAAATTAAATATTCTGTCATAGATATAGTACTCTAATGGCTTTATTTTATGATTTGGCAATGAAACAAAAAAGTTCCAAACTTGCATAGAATCGTGCAAATTTCATACAGTCGTCTTCTGAAGATTTAGCTTTATTTTTTTAATAAATCTTTTTATATCATTCATTTTAAAGCATCTTTCATCTATTTCATCTTTTATTATTTAGAACAAATATAGTTTTGAGTTTTATATTGGGATTTAAATAAATTCATTCATAATTTAATTACATACAAATAAAATCATTGATACATTTAAATTAATCGCATATTATCACAGATATTTTTTAAAAGAAAAATCAACTTTTTATATTTTCCTTGAGTGCTTGAAACTCGATATTTCCTTTAAACATTAACTCTCGAGGCTTCCCTGTTCAATGTTGTTCAGCTCTTCTAGAAGTTCAGACAAAGGCCTTAAATATTAAAGTCTTAAAATTGTAAATAAGGTCGATAAAAAAGAAACAAGGAACAGAAAACAAGATGGCGGAACAGAAAGCATGATAGCAGAACAGAAAGCAAGATAAAGGAACAAAAACAAGATGGAGGAACAGAAAACAAGATGGAGGAACAGAAAACAAGATGGAGGAACAGAAAACTAGATGGTAAATCAGAAAACATGATTGAAGAACAGAAAGCAAGATAAAGGAACAAAAAAAGATGGAGGAACAGAAAACAAGATGAAGGAACAGAAAACAAGATGGTAGAAAAGAAAACATGATTGAAGAACAGAAAGCAAGATAAAGGAACAAAAAAAATATGGAGGAACAGAAAACAAGATGGAGAAACAGAAAACAAGATGGAGGAACAGAAAAAAAGATGGAGGAACAGAAAACAAGATGAGGGAACAGAAAACAAGATTGAGGATAAGAATACAAGATGGAGGAACAGAAAATAAGATGAAGGAATAGAGAAGAAGATGGAGGAACAGAAAACAAGATGGAGTAACAGAAAACAAGATGAAGGAAGTAAATTAAGATGGAGAAACAGAAAACGAGATTGAAGAACAGAAAGTATGATGAAGGAACAGAGAACAAGACGGAGGAACAGAAAACAAAATGGGAGAAACAGAAAACAAAATGGAGAACCAGCAAACAAGAGGGAGAAACAGAAAACAAGATGGAGGAATAGAAAACAAGATAGACAAATAGAAAACACGATGGAGAAACAGGAAACAAGATGGAGGAACAGGAAACAAGATGGAGGAACAAAAACAAGATGGAGGAACAAAAACAAGATGGAGGAAGCGAATTAAGATGAAGGAACAGAAAACAAGATGGAGGATAAGAATACAAGATGAAGGAACAGATAAAAGATAGAAAAATTAATACGATACAATGTTAGAAAAATCAAGAAGGATAATTTTTTCTTGCAAATGTTACCCGACATCATCTTCCATTTTGAGCGCAGTGACCCTTCGGTAGAGATGGGAGCAGTCTAAGCTGATACACTCTCTTCCTATATTCCCGGCACACTTGACACACTCCCGCCAGCAGTCCTATACATCAAACAATAAGGGACTGTAAGCGTAGTTTAAAGTGACTCTCAATGCAAAGATGGCAATGCCTGATTCACAACGGTGCCCTTAAAAGTTTTGTCTAAACAAGTATGAAATATATATTGTTGTTTATAATGTTAAAATCTGATTACTTTTAATTGTGGTTTTTCTTTCAAAGTGACTGGCGCATTTCTACTGCAGGAAACTAATTTTAATTATCAGAATTATAACTCTAAACCTATAAAAACGACAATTTCTTTGCATTGAGGGTCGCTTAATATTATGCAATGCATTTTATAATGATAAAAACTTGAAAAAAACTTGAAAAATACTGCAAAAATCTGTGGAAGAAATGTCGTCTTGGCTCTTTTTTTAATAATAAATCTATATAATAAAGCTATTCACTCATATACGTTTATATGTTAGCTATAGCTGGCCAAACGTTTGTAAGCGTAGTTTAAAGTGACTCTCAATGCAAAGATGGCAATGCCTGATTCACAACGGTGCCCTTAAAAGTTTTGTCTAAACAAGTATGAAATACATATTGTTGTTTATAATTTTAAAATCTGATTACTTTTAATTGTGGTTTTTCTATCAAAGTGACTGGCGCATTTTTACTGCAGGAAAACTAATTTTAATTATCAGAATTAAAACTTGCATTGAGGGTCGATTAATATTATGCAATGCATTTTATAATGATAAAAACTTGAAAAATACTGCAAAAATCTGTGGAAGAAATGTCGTCTTGGCTCTTTTTTTAAATAATAAATCTATATAATAAAGCTATTCACTCGTATACTTTTATATGTTAGCTATAGCTGGCCAAACGTAAGCCCGGGAAGAAACATAGGCTAAAAAAAGTTTGGCCCGTGAAATCTAAATTAAATTTTTTGGAAATTCCACAGGTAACGCAGGGCACTTCAGCTAGTTTTTAATATGGGAGTTTGTAAATTTTGCACTAGTAATTTCTAGAAATAAATAAATCAAAATGATAAAATCTTAAAAGAAACTTCACAATTGTGAGAAAAATTCAAAGACGACTTTCAGCCTAAGTATTCTTGACATTACTGGCCCTATTCAGTTACCTGTATATTCTGCTGTATATTGTGAAGCTTCCTGGCTAGTAGAAGAGCGCTTGTATCTCGGCAGCTTCTGCAGCTCTCACAAAGTACACTCGTAGAGTACTAAAGACAATAGAACATTCAGAACATACAGGTCACAGCAAGGAATATAAAAGGATCTTCCATAAAATTAAAATAACATGTGCTGAAAGAGCCTGCGTCTTTTTAATTTTAATGTTTCTTCCAGAACCTGCAGTACACTTTGTTTTAAGGGAGTTCCCATTAAATCACGGGGTGTCCTAGTCCTACAATATATGTAATCGCGCTTAGATCTAAATTGGAATTTACTGGGCGTAAAATAAAATTTTTAATGATTTAAGCCGTTTCAAAATTGTTTAAAACCAAATAAATCTTATCTAAAGGATTTCACTATAAACGCTATTAATTTGTTATAATAACCTAAATCGTAAAATATACGACATTTATTTATATTTAAGGTTATTCACTGACGACCTCTAACTTTTGAAATATCACAATCTGAAGGTTGACATTTGTTTTGTTTAATTAATAAAGCCTCAAAATAATGTTGCAAACAGACATATCACGTGGATTTAACGGTTTTGTTAATATTCCAGAAAGCTGTGACGTTCGTTCACAATTTGTCCTAATAAACTTAATTTATTAGCCTTTATTCATAAATACTTTTTATTTTACATTTTTTATTTAAAAAGTATAAAACAATAAAATCCGTAAGTTTAAAGATTATTGAATTATTTGAGACCAAAACGCGTTTGATTTCAAATAGAAGAAACCGAATGCTTCTAACTCTGATTAGTCTGGGGTGATATTTTACAGATAACAAATCACCAGTTGAAATAATTCAAAAATAAGAATACCTCATTAATCCCTATATGGTACCGTTGTTAATCGACCATGCCATTTAAAAAATGGAGGGTTACTTAAAATAACGTGTACAGTCCCTTTAAATATAAAACTACCTGATCACAAGCTCGGCAGGACTGACAGACAAAGTATTTGGAAATAATTCCTTTATTTCTAAACAAATATATAGATAACTAAATAAAAAACTAAATAAGTAAAAAATTGAATTTTTTAACAAAGTTGAAGTTTTTTCCCGATTACAATTTTTTTATATAGCCTATTTTACCCCCAGGGTACCCCATGGGTTCCCTCAAATAATGTCAGTCAATTTTGTCCATCCGTTTGGCCAACATTAGCTAACATATATACAAACAAATATATATATATGATCGAGCGAAGAGCTTTATTATATAGATTGTCTCTTTAAGTCCATTGTTCACACAATTTGAAATTATTACCCTTTACTAAATCACGTTCGTTCCGGAGACCCAGAATATTCAGATGGCTGTGTTTAATGTTAATAATAAAAAATAAGGGCTTTATGTGTATTTAAAAAAATCCCTTTGATGAGTTAAGTTAATAATCATTAATTTACCATGGGAAAATATTATAATTCATTTTTAGAGTATAAAATCAGTTAAAATTAAAACTGAAAAATTATGTGATAAAAACATACTTGACGACCGCCTGGTGTAAAGGCTTGTAGTGTCTCGGTAGATCAGCATACCATTGTCCTTAAACAACAAAACAAAATTTAAACAAGAATTTCAAAGTAAAAAAAAGACTTTTATTAACAAGTCAACTAGTTTTAAATCTCCTTAAAATACTTCCATCGAGAGGGTAGAGGGTAAAAAGAAAAAGTTAAAAAACAAAACAAATGAGTAGTGATATTATCAGTTAATTGTTTCAATAATGAAAAACATCAATTAAAAAATGACCATGATTTATGTATGAATAAAAATACATAATTTTTAATCAAAATTATATTTTAATAAAATATAAATCACCTGTGTCTACGCCCAAAAGTAGGAAGCATCGGTTTAAAGGAGGAACAATAACCTAAATTAAACAAAACTAACTCAATGATGGAATTAAAGGATGTCCCACAGCTCCAAAACTTAAAGGGAGTGTTCGCGAAAAATGAAAGGGGGTATAGGCTTAATGCGATAAAAAAGCGCTTTTGATCGCTAATAATCTTACTTCTATCTGTTGCGTCTATAAGGAGAAAATTGTTAAAGACGTCTCATACCGTATGACTTAGCGCCCATATAAATTCAGAAAATTGCAACATACAACTTAGACCGTAAAAAATCAATTTAATTTCACACAAATCATTCAAATATTACAACCTATAGTCATCGATTATCTTTCGCCACATTTGTATATAGTTTATATTTTATAATATTTTGGTTTTCTAAAACAGCGATTGTCAAGGAGATTCAGAAGGAACGGAAAAATATTTTTTTTTTTGTAGAAATATATCGGTCCAACCACTCAAAACAACCAACCCTGGTTAGGCAGGTCCAAACTGCACAGTAAATTGTGATTGCTTATTTGTAATATCTCATCCTTTGTAGTTGAATAAAAATATTAATGAATGAATATTAAAAACTCATAAATGAATAGTTTAAAATGAATCCTGTCATTTTTGCTGATCAATCCCGTATCCTGTGGTGGACCTTGCAGGGTCACTTCAAATAAAAGGTCATTTAGAAGAAGTATACCTGGCTGTCCATAAACAACCACATAGGGGACTCGTTCCCCTGCCCTTGGGACTGCTCTAGGGTCCTTCTTTAGTCCCTAAATTTAAATTGTAATTAATATTCCACTTTAATCCAGATATGGAGGTAAGGCCAAGGGTGAAATTTATACGAGCTAACGGCGCAACTTTGCGACCTCGCAACTCCATAGATGAAAGTATACAAAGAGAAGTCAGTATTTATGTGTTTTGAATCTCTGGATCAAACATTAATCTTATTCCTATTCGATAATACCCTGCAATGATAACTTTAAAGTGCCCTCATTAAATATCGAGATTAAGCATTCAAGATTAAGGATACTCCACACAGAAGCTCCGACCTCTAATCTGACTCCAAAGAACCTAATGTTCCTTTTCATAATAAAAATGTCTTCCTTGGAAATCAATATATGCAGAATACATGGTTTGAGTAAAATTAGTGATAAAATAGTTAATTAGACTCTACGCAGATATTATCAAAAAGCACAAACTATAGTCTAAAGTTAAAATAAACAAATAACCAAATTTCCGATAGTTTTTGCAAGAATTTTGAACTACTTATTAGTAGAACATAGTCCACTCCAATATAGAAGTCAGGTTAGATTTATGTGCAGTTGCCGGTACAAATTAATGCCCTTAGAGTATCTTTACAGTTTTGAAAATACACCGAAGCAAGAGAAAGGCTAAAATCATTTGGTTAAATGTCAGAAATTAAAAACTTTTTATTATTCTCAAAAGGTCTTGAGAAAGAGAAAATATGATTGAAAAGCTGGATCATATAAATCTTTATTAAATCAACGTGAACCCAATAGAATGAAGAGCTTACTATTCTTGTTAATTCTAATGCAGGAACACAGGCAGTAGGACGGTAACCTTTCAATCCACGAAACTCCTAGGTTTAGATAAATACAAAAATCATAACTGTTAAATACAGACAGACAGATAGATAGATAAATAGATAACAGGATAAATAATTACAAATTATTAATAATTAGATAAAATTCTATTTTCTGAGAAGTTTCGTTAAAACAATGTTTTTCCAAACTTACCAATAAACTTCAGGATTAGTGTGTGGGGCAGGCACAAGATGATTTATTGAAGGAAAAATTCACAATGTTTCAAGATTAAATATTTTTAAAAAGACAGGAAACATAAGAAATATTTATTTATCTTTATAAACGAAATAAAAAAGGACGTGTGAAAAAATATTTTATTAAATAAATATCGAGGGGGTGTGTGTAACAACATTAGAGGACTAAAAGCGTAATTTTAAATTGGACATCAGCTCTAGACTGGGTATTTTCCACTCATTAGTAATTACAGTACCCGTAAAAGAGTTCTATAATAAACGGAAACGGTATTTCCACGATTATTTTTACAGCCATAACCAAAAAGACCCGGAATTAATTGATTGTTAATCAGGCGACTTTACATATATATAAAGGGTGTCCCCAAAAAAGATCTTAAGACATTGTAGCACTCGCCATGGTTCAATTTTTAAAAAAATTGTACATTTTTTAAATCTTTGGAACATTTCCGATCGAATGATTTCAATTAGCTAGAGGTATGTAGCACTAAAATTTAGAAAGTATTGACCGTTTGAAGTTTGTCATTTTGGCTTGGTTGAAAATTGAAATAGGTAAAACAAAAAATTATCACTGCATATTCATATTTTATTTCAATATATGAAAATTATGGTTTACAATTACAAAAATGATATAAATGATACAAATACATGTTTATGGTCTTTCTACTCAAAATGCCCCCCATGGTTTGCAATACATTTTTCTGCTCTATTCTTTACATCCATAACTGATCTCCTGCACATATCAACGTCTACTCTAGCAACTGCTCTATCCAAGGCCAGTTTTAACTCATTTAAAACTCTTGGTTTTGGTGTGTATACTTGGGATTACAAGAACCCCCAGAGATGAAAGTCCAATGGATTTAGGCCAGCCATGCCCTCTACTGGCTCTTCTGCTAACAACTCTACCCTCAAACTTACGGTCCAGATATCTCATGTTGTGATCAGTAACATGGCATCCATCCTGCTGCCACCATAGGGTATTCAAATTGCCACCATTTCTTATTTCTAATTCAGGCAAAGCTATGAACTGCAAGTCTGCAACAAAGAATGGTATCGAGCCCCATTCATGGTTTGATTTCTGTATACTTTAATGCCAAATGTTTCATCAACCTTCACACCACAAAACACCATCAATTTGTTTGGAAAGGTTGGTTTCTCCACAATAAAGTGAGCAGGCCGGCCACCATTTACTGGATCACTAGACTTGAGAGGAGCATACCGCCGAACCTTCTGAGAATTTACAGAACCATTTAATTCAAAGTATGCTTCGTCAGAAAAGACAAGTTTACCTAGCTGATTATTTGTGAGAGTTCTGATCCAGGTACAAAACTGTATCCTTCTTGGTAAATCTTCAGGTTTTAGTTCCTGCCTTGTAATTGGCCGATATGGGTGATATTTCATATCAGTTGATATCCTTGACCAGCTGGATTTGCTTAACATTAAAAAGTTTCTCCTTGCAGAGCTTACAGGAGAAGTATTTATAGCTCCAATGTGTTTGGCAGCATCTCTGTTCATTACTACAGCTACCCTGACAACATTTCTTGGAGTTCTGACATGTCGTGATCTTCCACTGAATGAATTTCCAGGACTTGTCTTACTATTCACATTGAGTACTGTCCCTAGCTCCATTGCCTTTTTATAGATTCTTCTGACATGACATAAAGCAGGCTGTCTTGCATTGAGATATTTGCGCCCAAAGTCCATGATAAGACCAGGCATAACGTTTCTGTGACCCTTTCTTTTGTGATACTCAAAAGCAAGGAAGTTTCTTTCCTGTGTTGTAAACTGAGGTCTTGCCATTATTAAACAATAATTGCGCATTTTTAAGATTGTTTAGAAGATTTGAATGTTTTTCAGACACTAATAAAATTCCATAATATTTATAAAATTCGAAAAAATCAATTCATGAACTCACCTGAGCCAAAATGACAAACTTCAAACGGTCAATACTTTCTTAATTTTAGTGCTACATACCTCTTATTGAAATCAATCGATCGGAAATGTTCCAAAGATTTAAAAAATGTACAATTAATATTTTTAGTAATAATAGCAATAACAACAATAATGATACTGATAATAATAATAACAATGTAAATAATACCACCTGACAGTTTCAATTCCTTTGGCATCAAATTCTGGTTTTAATTGTGTTTTTGTTTCGTACATGTATCCAACATATCTTTTCTTGGTTTGCAGTACACAGGGTAAATAAACCTAAATTTACATATTTAAAAATAAACATCATACAGTTTTGCAAATGTACATATGTACATCATACATGATAGAAAAGCACAACTTGTTTCGGATTGCTTAACAGGAAACAGAGGCGCAACAGTGGGGGGGGGGGGGGGGCAAAATAATTTCCTTTCTCGCTGAAAAAGGGGCAGCTCTTCAAAAAAAAAATTTAAAAAAATAAAAAAGTCACCCTTCAATCCAAGGAATGTTTAGGTAAGAGCCCAATATCCAATATCCAACAGTTTGATTTAAAAAAATACATCATCAAAATTTACGGAACAAAAATATTAATAATAAAATTGTGCAAGCTACTTTAAAGTTAATAAAAATGAGTGGCCTTAGTTTCCCCAAAAATCTAAACGATAACGTAAAAATGAAAATGAATAAAACTTCACCTTTTCAAATTTTAGTTTCATTGGTTTAGGATTCATCTCAGTAATAACACGGGCCATCTCCTCTCCAATATCAAATGCTTCGTCCTTGATATAAATAAATATATATATGTATATATATGTATATATATGTATACACACTAGCTTGGGAACCCAGGGTTGCCCAAGTTATTCAATACTAGTTGTTACTGGCGCTTGGTCGTAAATTACGAGTTGAACTATTTTTCCCTATAAAAGTCGACCTACACAATTTAGAATCTCAACATATACGTGGTTCTCCCGAGTTCCCCAATAAAGATTTGAGGCAAAATCAGTCAAGGGGTTCCTTAGTTATGATCGTAAATCAAAACAAACAAACAGAGATTACTAATTTATATATATATAGAAGGGAGACACTTTGAAAATTTCTTTGACGCAGAATTTCTTCTGGAATTTTTGGCAGTATGAAATCATTACTGGATTGCTCAGCAGATTGACCCATCCAACATCTCAGTTTATAACTGAAAATTTCCCTCTCATATTTGACATTTTAACATTATTTCAGGATCTTATATTTATATATTTATATTATATATTTATTTTAACATTAACTCTAAAAATAATACTATGAATAGCCTGGGTTTGTCTTTTGAATTTGATTTAAAACATTTTGAAAATGCAAAAAAAAACGATTGTTTTTGGATCGTTTTTCAAAAAATATTTCTTTATGATAAAAATATTGCATATTTTAATTATTAATGAAGGAACCAAAAGATTAACAACACTACTTGTGGTAAAATAATTTGAATGTCAAAAACCTAAAAACGATTCTCCTGACACGTGACATAATGCTCCTACCTTAGTTCTACCCTGGAGAAGAACAAACACACTGTCTGTGTCCCCGTAAACTACTTTAGCTCCCCAGCCCTTCCTCTCTTCTATAGTTTTAATTGTTATCTCCAGGGCCTCACGACCCTAAGCAGTGTTTTGAATCATTTTTGAACACTTCGACACAGGGGTATATCATTTTAAGAATTACGCATTTACAATGATTTTTGAGTGAACATCAAAAGGAAATTGTTTTGAATTTATATTATGTAACCAAATAAATTCTCATAATTGAGCATAAGATCAAACTAGAGTAGCTACGAGGTCACAAAGTCGTATAAGTATTCTCGCAAAAATTTGACCTTCTCTTTCTACTACAACCTAATGATCAATAGACTCTGTTTGATGCACTGTAAAGTGTACATAACAACAACGGTTACGCAATACAAATAAAGCAGTAACTCACATGTTTTAAACAAGAACCTTAAAGGGAACCTTTGTAAATCGGACATGCTACTCTTAAAATGGAAGTTCAATTAAAATTTCGTCGACCGTCCTTTCAACCACCATAAAGCCAGAAAAAAACGAGAAGGCCAAGGAACTGAGTTCTTCCTACAAAATATGATCTTTAAATCCATATATCTTTGCAACCCGGTGTCGTAGACCTTTATTATTTCAGACTATAAATTGTTATATCAAATAGTAAAAGTTAAAAATGCCAAAATTGAAGCAAAGATATGGGGATTACATATTTTGACCTTTTCGGCACGTTATCAGTTCCTAATTGGAAAATAAATGGAACGAGTTTGAGATCAGTGACATTTTTTGATTTTACGTCCAAGTATGAGAAAAGCTAATATTACTATATACCTTTGCGACCACACTATCCGCCACCTCTACGCATGGCATTCTACCACTAAAACTAGCTGACGTATAACCGTAGGTAACATTTGCTATAAGCTTTAAACCAAGCTGACGGGAGTGAAGAATCTTCTGAAGATCAATATCCTGTAAAAAGAAGAATATTAAAGAACATGACGGGAGTGTAGAATCTTCCTAAGATCAAAATCATGTAAAGAAGAAGAGTATTAGAGATCATGACGGGAGTGTGGAATCTTCTGAAGCTCAATTTCCTGTAAAAAGAAGAATATTAAATAACATGACGTGAGTGTAGAATCTTCTGAAGCTCAATATCCTGTAAAAAGAAGAATATTAAAGAACATGACGGGAGTGTGGAATCTTCTGAAGATCAATATTCTGTAAAAAGGAAGAATATAAAAGAACATGACGGGATTGTAGAATCTTCCTAAGATCAATATCATGTAAAGAGGAAGAGTATTAGAGATCAAGACGGAGTGTAGCATCTTCTAAAAATCAATATCATGTAAGAAGAAGAGTATTCGAGATCATGACGGGAGTGTAGAATCTTCCGAAGATCAATATCATGTAAGAAAAAGAGTATTAAAGCTCATGATGGAAGTGAAGAATCTTCTGAAGATGAATATTATTTAAGAAGAGTATTAGAGATCATGACGGAAGTGTAGAATCTTCCGAAGATCAATATCATGTAAGAAAAAGAGTATTAGAGATCATGACGGAAGTGTAGAATCTTCTAAAGATCAATATCATGTAAGAAGAAGAGTATTAGAGATCATGACGGGAGTGTGATTATGTGATTATGTGAGATGAGATCTGAGTGTAGAATGTTCCGAAGATTAATATAATGTAAAGAAGAAGAATATTAGAGTAAGAGAATCGTCTGAAGATCAATATCCTGTAAAAGAAGTGTTAAAATGCGTTAACGATTCATTTTAGTTCGAGAACTTGGGGGGTTTTTGGCACCGGGATTAACATATACTATATGTATTATGTATACTATTAATAAAAAGTTAAATTGAGAATTGAACCTTTGAATGTTTCTTCATCGACTGTTTGACCATGATCCTTGTGTTCAGTATGTCTTCAAGCATTGATGGTAAAACTCCTTTCCGTACTAATCAAACAAAATAATTTAGTATTTTCAGAGTCAGTTTTTATTTTATTTTAACCAAATTAAAAACCTGATTTCGCCCAAAAACTAAAAGAAACATTTTTGCTTTTTCACAGTGCAGTCCATTAAACATAAAAAATCAATCAACCATCATCCCGTAGAAGCCAGGGCTGAGACTCCGTCAAAGTTAATCGTAAATACTATTATTATATTCTATTTATTCGTACACAATTATAATGGTACAATTTAAAATCAACGAGAAATGAGATATATAACATATAAAATATAGAATTAATATATAGTCGAAAACAATAAAATAAAATAAAAAAAAATAAAAACTTAGTTAGTTTTTACATATATCATCAATAATTACATCTATTTCATCATAGTTAAATCCTTCTAAAACATTTGGATTTGACCGGATTAATAGTAAATCTTTTAACAGTGGAATTCTCCACGCATTTTCAGCCGGATTCGCGTAAATCATGTTTGACTTTACTAGAGACTTGTTCAAGGACAGTTTATCTACATAGGTTTCATTTGCAATATTAGATAAATTCTTACATAATTTTGTTCTATGGTCATTTTTGCATATTAATGCCATTGATGGTTACGACACGAGTCTAGTCATTAGTGTTGCGCATTGGCGAAGTACAAGTGTGTAGTGTGAACCCATTTCACTATGATTTGTTGATTTGTTGAATTTTAAGTTAGTGGTAAAACAGTGTCCGAATTTAAGGAATCTAAGCCGCGTCTCAAATACCCAAAAACCGGTTTTAATTAAGTGTGCCAGCTTAAATCTTGAAACATTGAATACAATTTTAAATGGAATTAATCAACTTAAATTTAAGCTGCGGTTCAAATTCTTTCAATTCGGCCTCTGGTTGCTTTATAATAACATCAAATAATGAAATAATGACTAGATTGCTCAAATATTTTTTTTTATTACACAGATAGGTCCTACTGTACAAATAATTAAACAAAAAACTTATGAAAAAAAAGTATTTCAGCCCTGACCTTGATAATTTTTTTGTATTAAATGGATTTTTGATATAACCTGTTTTCTTGAGAAAGACTATTCCCCCAGGAGATATTGTAATCTGATCACGGAGCAATCTAAATAAATAGTAAATAAATATCATAAAAAACACCCAATTTACTATTAAAGTTTAAAGTTCAATCTTATGATTAATATATATACTTCTAATGGACTGTGGTTGTAATGTATAGGAACTCTCCATCTAAATAGGAGCAGGCCAGTTTCATAACGGCACTTTATCTGTTCAATAATTTGGAAAATATCTCCGTTTTTCAATGTGTTTAATTTTGATATAATATACTGTACTAATGTACTGGCATATTGTACTGTACCGGTACCTGAGTCTCCCTGGAGATATCTTGAGGTTTGTACAACCAAAAGGATAAACTCCTGGTTCTCCCATATTCTGCACCCGACCCAGGCAGGTAGAGTAGCAATAGTTGTATCCTAAGTAGTAAAGTACAAAATATATAATTATATATGTAACGATCTAGCCCGTCTCTCCTCACTTAATCTTTATGGCTAAGCTGCCTCAAACTCTAACTATCAGTCAATCCCGACTGCCGTATGGCTAAACTGACTCAAACTCTAACTATCAGTCAATCCCGACTGCTGTATGGCTACCTGCCTCAAACTCTAACTGTCAGTCAACCCTGACTGCTGTATGGTTAAACCGTCTCTAATTCTAATAATCAGCCTACCCAGGCTGATTCCGTCTATACTGAACAAAAGTCTGTATTCAACTGATTTATTTATAAACGTGATTATACGGGCCGGTATGACCGGCCAGGTAACAAAACTAAAGATAGAATTATAATACAAAATATGATTACACAGGAAGGTAGAATTCATGACATATATCTTATTCCTTTGTGCTTTTAAACTGTAAAATTGTGTCATGTGTGGGAATTTATTTATCTATTTATTAAATGACAGCTTACCAATAATAATGCTTGGATATAAACTTTGAAAATCTAGAACTATCACGGGATCTAAAATTAGATTTGTTCAAGAAACTGATTGAAAAAAATTATTATATTTGTATGACCTGTGTACATTTTAGACTCTGGTTCAAGCAGAAGAGCTAAATATTCGGGAGCAGCCTTAATATTACAGATTTAAGTACTGCTGGTCAATTAATTTATATTGTTCCAGAATACTATACTCTATATAGTACACACTACAGAGTATAATAGACTCTACACAATAAACAGTATATACTATACTCTACACAGTTCACTACAGAGTATAATAGACTCTATACCCAGTACACAGTATACAGTATACAGTTCACAGTATACTGGACTCTACACAATATAAAGAATACTGGACTTTACAAGTGCACTGTATACAAGACTCTACACAGTTCACAGTATACTAAACTCTACACAGGTCACAGTATGCTAGACTGTACACAGTAAACAGTATACTATACTCTACACAATAAACAGTATACTATACTCTACACAGTAAACAGTATATTATACTCTACACAGTTCACAGTATGCTAGACTCTACACAGTTAACAGAACTATACTCTACACAGTAAACAGTATACTATACTCTACACAGTAAACAGTATATTATACTCTACACTGCAGTAAACAGTATACTATACTCTACACAGTAAACAGAACTATACTCTACACAGTAAACAGTATACTATACTCTACACAGTAAACAGTATATTATACTCTACACAGTAAACAGAACTATACTCTACACAGTAAACAGTATACTATACTCTACACAGTAAACAGTATACTATACTCTACACAGTTCACTACAGAGTATAATAGACTCTACGCAGTATACAGTATACTAGACTTAATACAGTACAGTACACAGTATACAGTTCACAGTATACTGGACTCTACACAATATAAAGAATACTGGACTTTACAAGTGCACTGTATACAAGACTCTACACTGTTCACAGTATGCTAGACTCTTCACAGTTCAATACAGAGTATACTAGACTCTACACAGTACACATTAAACTATACTCTACACAGCTAACAGTATACTGGACTCTTCATAATACGCATTAAACTAGACTCTACAAAGTACATAGTAAACTAGACTCTACACAGTACAGTATACAGTATACTTAGCTTTTAATCTTCACACTACACAGTATACTAGGCTCTACACAGTACACAGCATACTAGACTCTACACAGTATACTTGACTCTACACAGTACACAGTATATTAGACTCTAAACAGTACACATTAAACAGTGTGAAAGACAGTATACATTTTTTACTTGACTCTACTCAGAGTGATAGTATACAGTATACTATTGCCTCTACATAGTGTGAAAGACAGTGTATATTGTATACTAGACTCTACACGGTATACCTGGCCAGCTAGCTGCTGTCTAGAAGGGGATACAGGTATAAAGTTCATTGGTTTGGCTAGTCTCAACATACTAGACTCAACGCGGAATTGGGAGCCTCGGCTTATCACCTCAAAGAACTGAATTCCAAATATTCTTGCCAACTCAGATGTTCTAAATGATTTGAGAATAATCAATCAGTCAATCAATCAATCTGGTAAAAAATTATAGAAAAACTAAAGTAGAATCAGACAGAATCAGAGTAAAATGCGAAAAGAAAAGAAAATGAGGAATAAAATCATCTTTCGTATTATTATTATTATTAAACGTCTGGTACCTTGAAACTATATCGAGCCTGTACAATATCTCTAGATGAATGTTCACCCGTTCCAACATATTTTTAACAGTCTAAAAAAATAAACTAAAAATCCGTGACAAATGTTTTCCTAAACTTAAATTTGCCGCGTAATTTGAGTTTATACCTTATGCCGCGTAAGATTATTCTTCCACCATTTTGTAAGATATTGATGACTTATCTTTGGAATTCTCTTACCTAACACCTACACAAACATTTCTAAGTTTTATTTGAATTTATCTTGAATATTGACCCCATTTAATTAGACAGATCTTAGTATTGATTAGTCAAGAGCATTGTAAAATAAATAAATAATGTAAATAGTCAAATTTTTTGAGCATGGACAGTTGGTTAAGTATGAAATAAAATACCTTCCATGCTACACTCTGTAAGGTATAACTATACAGAGGTAACTCTGATCTCATAATTCTCCAGGTATTTAGAACTATCCGTCCAACAAGGTTTATCTCAGACGTGTGTTCCGCATTATACTGAGCTCCTAGAGTATTATTATCATTGACAGTTTCATTCAGTTTAAACCTTGGTTAGTAACGAACCCATCCCTATTTTTGCCTAATGATTGCATCGTATTTATTGTGGACAGCCCAGCCCCATTCTCCAATTGCGCCAAGGGGAGGGGAATATACCCCCCCCCCCCTCCCTACTGATTTATCCTATACCTGGATTATCCTCTGAATCATCAAGCATTCTGCTCTCTCTGATACTACCAGGTACTCTGGATATAAGGGGACATAGATTCAACCCTAAAAGATTATTTTCAAACCTTAAAATTGGAGCATTCTCTGTTTGTATTAAATAAACATCAAAACAGCTGATCTGATTGATTGGGCTCCAATTTGTTTAAACTTTAAAGACCTCAATGGTGGTTTATAGAGCTGGCCACGCTCAAAACTCGTATTTTTAGAGTGCTTCTAATTTTAAAATTTATCAATTAAAATAAAATTTATTTATTTATTTATTTATTTATTTATTTAATTATGCCCCTGAACCTGTTCTTTGTACATTATGCTACTTGTATGCCACAGTAAATAAAAATAAACTAAGCTTTTATATATATGTCTTCCTTGTCTCTGCTGCCTGTAGGGACTTACCTAAGTTAAAAGCTCTCTGGAAAAGAAATCCCCAAGACTCGAGCTGAATTTCATATCCTTACAAGTCAAATCAAATTTTTAATTGTTTTTCGTTAAAGAGCAATTAAGAAATGGTTTTCCCTGAACCCCTAAAAAGTCGCTAAAAGGAAGTTATAATATAACTAAAAAGAAATATTGCAAAAGGCATTTAAGAAATAAAATTTCCCAACCTATAAGTAAATTCGTGGACAATGTCTGTGTGAAGGGGGG